AATGCCAAATCGTGCCCTGAGTAATTCTGTGTCATGGTTAATAGGTTGCTGTGGGTTCATGAGTATTTAGGGTTATTTTACTTCTTTGGAACCAAATTCCACACCCAAAATTGATATTGTCAAACCTATCAAATGTCCTTATTTAAAAAGCAGGGCGGGGGGGGGGCGGGGGGTGAGGAAGGAATCTGTTAATAAATATTTACTCCCACCATCTAAAATAGGAATGGATTATGAAATGTTCAAGGCTTCTTGACTGGCAGTTCATCTAATATGTATCATCAGAAGTTGACTTACTAACTTTCCTGAGATCATCCATTACCTTTCCCATTTAACATAATTGCAAGCAAGTCACTTTCTTGAGAAGAAATGTTGTTTATCTTTAGTAGTTATTTTGCAGCTAGATTTGCTCAGAATTCCTACAGGATATGAATCATTTACATTTATATGTTGACCTATTCTTATTTTGCTCTTTCTGAGGAAAATTTTAATGTAGTGTATGTTATATAATATAGATGATACCTTGTCATCGATATTTTCAGTGTCATTTTCAAATCAACTCACAGACTCTATGATAAATCTGAGAATTCGAGTTGCTCTAATGAACATTGTACATTCAAATAAAAAAACCATAGGGTAAATCCAAGAAAACATTATTAGCCTTTTGTATAAGTGTTTGAGGTCTTTGACTATTAGAGGAGAGGTAGAATGGGGGATGACAAACCCCAAATGGTAACTAACACCTAAGCCTGCAGTCATTGACCTGTCTGAAAATTGTGTGAAATTTTACAACTACTATCTTCTCTTCATTTGTTTTTTTAAATTACTTATTTTTTTTAATTTTAAATAAATGTCCACTTGACTAAGTGAGCACTTAGTCAACATATTTAGAATTTGAAAGGCTATTAGTTGTAAATATATTGGAATGTTTGTGGGAGAGTAATTCTTGGTAAATAAACATGAATTATAAGAAACAATTAATGCTGATGCCGATAGGTTCTGAATTGCCCGTCCTCACTGAGACTATGGGTCAGAAGAGAGGGGAGGAGATGTGGCTTTATGTTAATTCTGTATCAGTAAGGTAGATATGAGTGGTGTTCTTGGATTCTGGAGCTTGTCAAGAAAAGATATTTGGCTTGAAGAAGGAAGAAAGGAAGGAAGAGGTGGGAGGGAGGGATGGAGGGAAGAAGGAAGGAAGCAAGGAAGGAAGGAAAAACTATAGAAAGAAAATATGAGCTTTCAGTAGGAGAAATTGATCATGAATCCATCTATGGCTCTTGTCTCTCGGGTGGTGGTCAAACCAGCTTCACTGTGGAACTTAAAAATGAAAAAGTATACTTGCTTTAGTTTTTGCTATAGCTCTTTATTTTACAAATGTTCAGTCCCTTAATATAAACACATTCTAATCTCTCTAAATATAGCAAATCATCAAAAAGAAATCATTTCGTATCTTGTTATTTATGAAACTTGCTGTGGCAAACTTCTCCTAAAGCAGCTTAAGCTGAATACGTGCTAGAAATTCAGGCTAAATATGATATTTCCCTCTATTTTTTTAGGAAATAGATGATTTGTGTTTTTAGAATCTCAAGAAATTTACTTTCTCATGCTGAATATGTTTTCGTTTGTTAGGCACACTTGTGCATATGTGTTATATAGGTGTTCCTTTCTCCACATCATATGTAGTGGTGAGAGATGCCAAACAATGTTACCCCACTGGAACTAATGAATGTCTGTCTTAGTTAGATCATTCTTACCTTACTGATATCTCTTCTATTTCCTTACCCAGTTATGCTGTTATTGCCTATGGCTGTGCCAGCTGCCCAAAGCTGACCTGTGAGAGGGAAGGTTGCCAGACTGAGTTCTGCTACCACTGTAAGCAAATATGGCATCCAAATCAGACATGCGATATGGCCCGTCAGCAGAGAGCACAGACTTTGCGAGTACGGACCAAGCACACTTCAGGTCTCAGTTATGGGCAAGAATCTGGACCAGGTATAAATTGACATTGTCTCATTTGTCTCTTTATTTTGTACTACACAATGTAAGCCCAAATCTGGGAGAGATTACATTACTGTATAACCAAGTATTTCCTGAGATCAGAGAGCAGAAAATATTTGGCAGTACTTTCAATATTGTATTTGATTTGTACCTTCCTCCTCTAACCATTATAGGTTGTCCAACCCAGGTAAGATCAGAAGACAACAAAAGTGGATTCTCTAGTTTCTGCCTTCTTAGTAATATGTCTCATATTGGATAGCAATTAGGTCCTTTTGCAAGGAGCTTTTCAAAACTTGCATTATAAGAAAGACATTTAATTAGTGTTATACCTGTATTGTTTTCCTACTAGCTTTAAGTGCATCACCACTTTTGGAAGTAGGATACACATTTAAGGAAAGGAAATATTAGTATAAATTAATGATTAACCTTAAAAAGAGGAATATCATGCATTCAGCTCCAACCTTTACAAATCAGAGTGAACCTATTTTAAAATGTCAGTGGGTTTATTGCCTTTTATAAATGTACTTATTTCACTGATGTCATTTGGGAGAGGCTAGTAGGAAAGATTTTACCATTCACTTTTTCCTGGCACGGCATATTCTAAAATTGTCATTTTAATAGGATAGTTCCTAGCTTGCTGTGAAAATTACCAGGTGTATGCTACGTAGCATACCCAATTATTTTTAGGTTTTAAATTTGAAAGTGTCATGAGAAGGGACTGTAGGAGAGTGTTAACAGCAAATTATAATGATACTCACTGAGCCTGAGAAATGAATTTCTTGAACCAAAGTTTTTCAAAACTTAAAGCCAATTCCAGTCTACAGACTATTCTTCCTGCTGGACTCTGCTTTTAATTCTGTCAGCCTATTGGCTGGTGAAATTCCATTTTTCTTAGAACCATCTTTCTCTTTAGGGAAGTCCCCTTGCTCAAAATGTGGCAGAAATGCTGTATAAGATGCCAGTTAGGGGAATAGGCCGCTCAATACAAGACAGGATCCATTTTATGAAATTTCTTGAGGTCTAGACATAGCCAGCCTTCCAGTGTGAAGTGGGTTGTACAATTTGGAATTTTCAGTCAAGAGTTCTTGACTTCCTCCTCATTTTTATATGTATACTCCTAGGAATAATAAAGTCAATAGTTATAACTGGGGGTATTTTTCTACCCATTCTTCCTTCCCTCATTAGCAGATGACATCAAGCCATGCCCACGATGCAGTGCTTACATTATCAAGATGAATGATGGAAGCTGTAATCATATGACCTGTGCAGTGTGTGGCTGTGAATTCTGTTGGCTTTGTATGAAAGAGATCTCTGACTTGCATTACCTCAGGTGAGATGGAAGTGTGTTCATTGCTTTTACAGTCTTGTCCTCTTACTGAATTAAGGGAAAGGATGCTAAAGAGACATCCTTTAGCTGTCCAGTCATTACAGCATTAGGAAACTATAAAAAAGTTCTGAAGCACCCCTCTGATCATGTTTTTCTTCAGCTCAGCAACTTCCAGGAACTGTTTCAACTAACGACCAGATAGAGTTCAATTTTCCTAGCATGGCTTTTAAGGCTTTCCACAGTCTGGCCCGAATCTGCTTTTCTAGCTTTTTCCATTTTGCTTTCATAAATGCCCTATTCCAGATACATAATTTGCACTTGCTGTTCCCTGTGTCTCTTCTGTGCTGTCTTACCCCTCTTTATTTGTTCATGTTCTTTCCTTTGCTTGGAATGCTTTCTAATCACCTCACCATCCCAACAACCCTCTTTTATCTCAGCCTGTTCAGTACTTATCCACCCTTCAAGGGCCACTTAAGTGCTGTTACATCTGTGATTCCTTCTCCAGCCTTTTTGCCTATACTTCTTTATTGACATTCCTTACATATTTTTTATAAATGTCATCACTGTTTTTACTTCATGTACATGTCTAATTTTGCTGAACTATGTAAGTTTCTTAAGACATGTACATACTTCATGTACATGTCTAATTTTGCTGAACTATATAAGTTTCTTAATTTTGCTGAACTATATAAGTTTCTTAAGTTTCGTAAGTTTCATCACTGTTTTTACTTCATGTACATGTCTAATTTTGCTGAACTATACAAGTTTCTTAAGGCCATAGTTACCTTTTTACAGTTCCTTGCATGTAGTGAGTTTCCAAAAATTCATTGAGTGACTATTAAAATATTGTCCTGAAGGAGTTAATATTTACAGATTTAACATTACATGGATGAAACACTTTAATTTCCAATTTAGCAAACATTTGAGTATTTACAGTCTACCAATTATTGGGGACACGGGATGTATAAGACATGATCTCTACTTTCAAAATTGCTTATCCCATCTGGTAGAGAAGACAGGACAAGGGGAATGAGCAAAAATAATTGGACTCAGAAGGGCTGAATATAAAAGTAGCCAAACCCAGAGTATGAAACTTACATAAAGGCTACGAGGAAATCTTTTTATATCCTTTCCCAGGAACATGGTTTACAGTATCTATCAGGTATGGTAGGACATATACCAAGAAAACTTTGCAAATCATTGTTCATTAGCTACAAGGCACAGTGCATTTGGGTGAGATATCAAGTGTTTAGGCTATGCAGGGTTTCAAGTAGTATCAGTCAAGAAAACTGGATCAGTGTTGGTAGGTTAGGGAGGACAGAGTTCAGTAGAAAAGGAAGAAGAGTTTTCAAGTCTGGGAGCCTGCCTTTACCAAAAAAGAAAAGAGCCCAGAGCTCTAATAGTCTGGCCGTGTCCTTTGCTCCCCTCCTGTAGTATATTCATTTCCTGTAACTTCTTGTAACTGTTAATCACTCCTATTGAAAAGAGGCTCTTGCCCTTGTTGAGCCCTGTGATAACAACAGCTGTGTTTGTAACACTAACATTAACTTCAGCATGTTTCCTCTGCAGCCCCTCTGGCTGCACATTCTGGGGCAAGAAGCCATGGAGCCGTAAGAAGAAAATTCTTTGGCAGCTGGGCACATTGATTGGTGCTCCAGTTGGGATTTCCCTCATTGCTGTCATTGCCATTCCTG